TGACCGAGTTATGGGGGTGGTAATTTTTGACCCATGCCTAGATACGAATCTTGGGGTAAGATTTGGACATGAATTTCGAGCAAAAAATCGGTGTCGAGATTTGAATGCCAGATCAATCTAGAGGGAAAACCATGAAGAAAAAGCCAAACTTCGTGAAAATCGGATGCGATTTGACCGAGTTATGGGGGTGGTAATTTTTGACCCATGTCTATATACGAATCTTGGGGTAAGATTTGGACATGAATTTCGACCAAAAAATCGGTGTCGAGATTTGAATGCCAGATCAATCTAGAGGGAAAACCATGAAGTAAAAGCCAGACTTCGTGAAAATCGAATGAGATTTGACCGAGTTATGGGGGTGGTAAATTTTGACCCATGTCTATATACGAATCTTGGGGTAAGATTTGGACATGAATTTCGACTAAAAAATCGCTGTTCAGATTTGAATGCCAGATCAATCTAGAGGGAAAACCGTGAAGAAAAAACCAAACTTCGTGAAAATCGGATGAGATTTGAACGAGTTATGGGGGTGGTAATTTTTGACCCATGTCTAGATACGAATCTTGGGGTAAGATTTGGACATGAATTTCGACTAAAAAATCGGTGTCAAGATTTGAATGCCAGATCAATCTAGAGGGAAAACCATGAAGAAAAAACCAAACTTCGTGAAAATCGGATGAGATTTGGCCGAGTTATGGGGGTGGTAAATTTTGACCCATGTCTATATACGAATCTTGGGGTAAGATTTGGACATGAATTTCGACTAAAAAATCGGTGTTCAGATTTGAATGCCAGATTAATCTAGAAAGAAAACCATGAAGAAAAAGCCAAACTTCGTGAAAATCGGATGCGATTTGACCGAGTTATGGGGGTGGTAATTTTTGACCCATGTCTAGATACGAATCTTGGGGTAAGATTTGGACATGAATTTCGACCAAAAAATCGGTGCCGAGATTTGAATGCCAGATCAATCTAGAGGGAAAACGAAGAAAAAGCCAAACTTCGTGAAAATCGGATGAGATTTGGCCGAGTTATGGGGGTGGTAAATTTTGACCCATGTCTATATACGAATCTTGGGGTAAGATTTGGACATGAATTTCGACCAAAAAATCGGTGTCGAGATTTGAATGCCAGATCAATCTAGAGGGAAAACCATGAAGAAAAAGCCAAACTTCGTGAAAATCGGATGAGATTTGGCCGAGTTATGGGGGTGGTAAATTTTGACCCATGTCTATATACGAATCATGGGGTAAGATTTGGACATGAATTTCGACCAAAAAATCGGTGTCGAGATTTGAATGCCAGATCAATCTAGAGGGAAAACCATGAAGAAAAAGCCAAACTTCGTGAAAATCGGATGAGATTTGACCGAGTTATGGGGGTGGTAAATTTTGACCCATGTCTAGATACGAATCTTGGGGTAAGATTTGAACATGAATTTCGACCAAAAAATCGGTGTCGAGATTTGAATGCCAGATCAATCTAGAGGGAAAACCATGAAGAAAAAGCCAAACTTCGTGAAAATCGGATGAGATTTGACCGAGTTATGGGGGTGGTAATTTTTGACCCATGTCTAGATACGAATCTTGGGGTAAAATTTGGACATGAATTTCGACTAAAAAATCGCTGTTCAGATTTGAATGCCAGATCAATCTAGAGGGAAAACCATGAAGAAAAAACCAAACTTCGTGAAAATCGGATGAGATTTGACCGAGTTATGGGGGTGGTAATTTTTGACCCATGTCTAGATACGAATCTTGGGGTAAGATTTGGACATGAATTTCGACCAAAAAATCGGTGTTCAGATTTGAATGCCAGATTAATCTAGAGGGAAAACCATGAAGAAAAAGCCAAACTTCGTGAAAATCGGATGAGATTTGGCCGAGTTATGGGGGTGGTAAATTTTGACCCATGTCTAGATACGAATCTTGGGGTAAGATTTGGACATGAATTTCGACCAAAAAATCGGTGTCGAGATTTGAATGCCAGATCAATCTAGAGGGAAAACCATGAAGAAAAAGCCAAACTTCGTGAAAATCGGATGAGATTTGACCGAGTTATGGGGGTGGTAATTTTTGACCCATGTCTAGATACGAATCTTGGGGTAAAATTTGGACATGAATTTCGACCAAAAAATCGGTGTCGAGATTTGAATGCCAGATCAATCTAGAAGGAAAATCGTGAAGAAAAAGCCAAACTTCGTGAAAATCGGATGAGATTTAACCGAGTTATGGGGGTGGTCATTTTTGACCCATGTCTAGATACGAATCTTGGGGTAAGACTTGGACATGAATTTCGACTAAAAAATCGCTGTTCATATTTGAATGCCAGATCAATCTAGAGGGAAAACCATGAAGAAAAATTCTATAGCATATATATATTCTATTTTAGAAGCTGTCAAGTTTGGTGACTCGAGTTCTTATTTTTTTACCAAAATTGCCCAAAAAACAGGATATCGATATCGATTTTTATCGATTGCTTGGAAACGGAGTAAGTTATCGATTATCGGAAACAAACTCGATCTGTGCGGGAACTAGGAGCATCTACATCTAAAATTTAAAGTCTCTAGCTCTTATAGGTTCTGTCCGTTGACTCATACATACGGACGGACGGACGGACGGACGGACAGACAGACGGACATGGCTAGATCGACTCGGCTATTGATGCTGATCAAGAATATATATACTTTATGGGGTCGGAGTTGCTTCCTTCTGCCTGTTACATACATTTGGCTTTCGCACAAATACAATATACCCTTATACCCATTTTTAATGGGTTCAGGGTATAAAAAGCATTAAAATATAATGCGTAGTAGTTTAATAAATTGACTTCAGTTCAAATAAATTGGAAGCTGTTTCAACACGAATGAAAGCATAAATTTTAATGCGAAGTGGGAATAATAATACACAAACTAAATTATATTGAAACAACAAATTAGAATTTACTTAAATAGCTTTCAAATGCTAAGTCTTTGCTTCCTTATCAACAAGTCTCCGCCTCACTTTTTGTGTTATCTGTAGAGGGCCTATTTTATATATGACTTACCAGCGTTGCTAGCACCATGGAGGCGGCATGAAATTCGGCGAGTCGTTCCATAACCAGGCGACAATGTGTCTCATCTAGGCCCGTTTCACGGGAGGCCATCACATAGCCAAGTTGGCCAAGATCTTCAAAGACCAGCGTGTTCTGCGGCTGCTTCATGCACTGATAGAGTCTGGAAACGAATCTTTATAACAAATCTGATTGCTGCGGCCAGACAATATTATCTCACTTGGGTCCGAAGCGTCGTTTGCATTGCGTAAGCAGTTCTAGGCGTGGCAGCAGCTCGTAGTAAGTGATCTTCTCCTTCAAGTACACCTGCAAGTCCTCAAGGAACTCCACAGAGTCAATGCGCGGTATGCTCTTCACAATAACCGCCATTTGCTCATCCTTCTGTGAAGCTTTGCCATTTTGTTGCCTGTAATTCAATTTCACACGATAGATTTGACTGCAGTAGTTCTCGCCGGTGCTGCTGCCCATGCTGCAGTGAATCCCAGTCAGCTGAATACGGGATGTGCGCAGTGCCGTCTCCAGCACCTCGGTGAAGAAGGGCACATCCAAATGCTTGGGCGGCGAGGCTTGTAGCTCCTGATCGTACACAATGCTGCACATGTTGTGATCTCAAGTAGTTTGAAAAGCTAGAACGAAGCGTCAGGCATTTTATACGCACAGCCACACAAAGCTGAGATTGTTGTTGGTTTTAAATTAGCGTAATTAATAATATTTATAAATATGCCCCTACATACACATGCATATAATTTCACTTAATATGCGACAATAGCGTCTAGTTGTCCACTTTTTAATATAAACAAACACGCGACCTTTTACAGATTTTATATAAATTATATGTATTTGTGGAAACCAGTTATCTAATTTTCACAAGTTTCTTCTGCTCTCTTTGAATAGCGCTACGTTGACTCGATTGACTGTTTGACAGGCAGTCCGACACTCGGAAATTATCTTATCACGGCCCACCCACTTTTCAGATTATGTCTATGATTATTTAATCATCGTTATCTATCTAACGTTCTACTAGCTTCTCAGGTGAGAGCATCGCCCAGACTCATCAGATGGAAGCTTTGTATTTCTCTCACGTCTCTGTAGTTCCTCTGCCCCTCTCAGCTTTAGCTTTTCTTATATTTCTGTGCTTCACGACTTACTGATTAATGCGCAACATCTCAGCTAATCTTTGTTTTTAATACTTTTGAAACTCAAGTTTTTATTTTTTTACTGCCACAATTTCATTTCACATTCACATTTTTATTTTGCAACATATCAACTCTAAATCTCTCGCAATTATAAAATTTGTTTTTGCAATTATAAAAATTTTTATAAATTTTAATGAAGCAATTTATGTCATAATTAGGCAGCCCAAATGACACTTTAATTTGTCTAGAAAATTATATTTTCAGTTCTATGTGACGTATATTTCAAATGTGATTATTTTTTGTTTTTGGGCAAAGAGAGGAAATGATCAAAAAAGTAAAATATTCTTGGACTTGACATATGTTCTGGTTGTAGTATTTATATTCTCTATATTAAAAATGTGATCATCGTTAGGTTTAAAAGTACTTATTGTCGAATTTGGTGCCTTTAGTTCGTAAAATCTCTGACGCCTTACTATAAATCATGTGACAGGCATGGACGAACCTGATTATGATTATATTTACTTTTTGGGGCTGCAAATGCTTCCTTCTGGCTCTAATATTTACTAGCGACAATTTGTTATACGCTTTATACTATTAGTTATCTTTTTACGGCTGTAATGGCTGCATTTCTAGCGTTTATCTTATGATTATCATAATACCAAATCACAGTTAAAGCTGTCTTTAGCCCAGTCGCGTTGCCCTCGAAAAATGCCACAAGATTCAAAAGATATTGAGTCATGCAATACCGAAAGCCATAAAGAAATTGCAACATTTGTTCTAGGGCCTTAAATTGTTAATTTACAAAATAATAAAATAACAGTGTATTCAATTAGGGGGCAATCAAATATTATGCAATATTTATTCTGTATGAACCGTTAGAGCAACAATGTGCAATTGTTTCTCACTGCCTTCAATCGAATAGATGCAAGTCATCCAAACGCTTCAACGTGAACTTGAGACTCTCGAGAGTGCGTGCATTACCTTCGAACATGAGCTGCACCTTTTGCCTGGCGAATTCCTCGTCATGAAAGTTCTTCAGCGAGTTGTCCTCCGAATCAATGCCAATCATGCTCATCAGCGGAAAGAAACCAAAGGCCACAAAAAATCCATAAGCCTCCCGGGCACGAATCTCAGCCATGACATCCTCATGCGTGGGCAGCGGCTTGTCCCAGGGCAGCTGCTGCAGACAGCCCAACAGCGCCTCGTAATATGCATCTATTAGCTGCTGGCGCTGCGTCTTAAGCACATCCAGCTCCAGGCTGGTATTAAGAAAGTAATTGACATCGAAGCCCAGGCTGCCATAGAAGCACAGCTGAAAGTCAATCTGCCAAAAAATTGCATATGTCAGATCATTTTTATGAATCTAAAGGCCAAGCACTTACAATCTTCGCTTGCTGCACCTTGTGCTGTTCATCGTACTTGAAGAATATATTGTTCACCCACAGATCTCCGTGGTTCATAACATTTAAATCTCCACGCAGTGGATAAACCGATTTTAGCACACGCTCCGTGAAATGCTCGTGATAGCGATAAAGTTTCCGTGTTATCGAACCAAATCCTTCGCAATCATTGGTCAATGCCGCCAATTTTAGCAGTTGAGTGCCAAAAAGCAGCTTAAAAGGCTCCGATTTAATGGCATCCATGTGCAGCAGTCCAAACGGATAACGATCTATTATCGTTTGAGGCTCATGCTCGGCCATGACCATGGTCAGGGCATGATATTCGGCCAACTTGCGCATCACCAGCCTCGCATGAGCAGCATCCAGGCCCAGCTGTCGGCATTTCAGCTGATAACCCTCACAGCAGAGATCCCCAAAGACAATGGTCTGCTCCGGCTGCGTAGTTGAATAGTAGTGCCTGAACAGTGATTAATTTGGTGATTTAGTCAGGAAATAATAATGGGTTCACATTTGCTATTGGGGACTCGGGAAGACTCGCATGGTATTACTCTATCCTTTTAACCTCCGCTCACCTGGCTCCCAGCGTCCAGGGCTCTTCGCCTGCATGTGCCCGCCACATGAGCGCCTCCAGCTTTGGCTTGATGTACAGATAGAAGAAAGTCTCCTTGTTGTAGATATGGAGACGGGCCAGTATGGCTTGCTTCTCGGCCGGCATACACTTGACTATGAGCGAGGTCTCCACCAATTTTCGGTCCGCTGTCTGGTACCTGACATGGGCCCGATAAATATTACTGCAGTAGTTCTCGCCGCCACGCGTCAGATCCGTCAGCTGCACATCCAGCACTTTGAGATCCTGCTGTTGCAGGCCGTGCTCCAGGGTACGTCTGAAGAACTGTGGCGTTAAGTAAAGCGGCAGCGTCTCCGTTGTGTTCGACATTATGTATGGCTATGAATCGGTTCGACATCGTGACTGAACGTCTTATATGGAAAATCAAAGTCATAGCTGGTTGGGTCTCAATTGACCCCAATGGAGCGTCTTTGGGTGCATCTGCTTGCGACTTAATTGACTCAATAGAAATGCATTCCCAGTCTCGACTTTGGATTATCGGTGGCTGCTTTTGATGCATACTCTACATACTTGCTTTAGAGGATGCGCTAAAAATTTTAATACTGATGCAAATATTATGACATTTATATATTCTAATATTATTCAATATTAACGTGAGAATAATAAAGATTATTGATACTTGAACGCTCCATTTAAAGGACTTAGTAAAGTCTAAAATAATATCTTACTTTGACCTTCAAATTGCGTTAAAGTAGATTTTATAAACAAAAAAGTATTTTACGCTTTTTACGCGATCAGAGAGATATAAATTGTATACAACTATATTCCCGATTTGTGAGGAATTTCAATGTATGCCTCTAAATTTTATAAAATTATATTCCCGTTTTTAGTAAAACAATATCAACAATTTTTTGAAAACCTTGCTTCACTGTGCACTTACACTTACTTACGACACAATGTAGTTTGGTTGTTTCTTTCTCTTATCAAGCGATAAAGAATGCATATATTTAGAAATTGCTATAGCAACGACTTAAAGCAGAAATATTGAGCAGACACAAGTTTCATAATAGACCTCAGAGATTGAAGAGAGAGATTGTTTCCTAATGAGCGAGTATATCAAAGTCATTAAGCGTTATATTTGTTAGTTATTGTATGCAATCAATGTAATCAGTTTTTAGTTGCCTGCCTAAAATAGTGTTTCTTTATTAATTTCTTTATCAGTTGCGTAATCAAACGCCGGCCCGACATGCTTTGTTTTTTTCATGCTTTATCGTTTTTGTGTAGAAACCGCTTAAAGTGCGCCAACCAATTAAAAAGTCCATTAGATTCATTCAAGAACTGCAGCTACGTTAGATCATTTTAATTGAACTCTGGTCTATAAAAACCTAAATCAAGTATGACATAAGAATTAGCTCTCATCAGGCAGCCGTATAGCTGTCCGTCTTTGTCTGCGTGCGCCTCTTTTAGCCGTCCGTGTTTGCCATTCAGGTTGATGAACCCATAAGCCCATAAGTGGAGCTTGTCTGTCTAGTAATCGCCAAAGACACCCAGTTCCTCGGCGCGCTTAAGAGCCCATTTGTGATAGTCGTTGAGAAACTTTTGCGAATAGATGGCTTCCATATGCTTTTGTTTAAAGCTCTCATCCTGCATATTCTCAATGCTATTGTCCTTTGACAGCTCTTGCGGCATGGTTATCACGGGCAGAAATGCGAATAAGCCAAATATTCCATAAGTCTCACGGCTGCGCAGCTCCCAAAGTAGATCCTCATAGCTGGGTATTTTCTCAAAGCGTGCATACTCCAAGGCATCGCGGAAGGCTTTGTAGTAGACTTTAATCAGCTCCTCTCGACGCTTCTGCAGCAGCTCCAATTTGACGCTCGTATTCAAAAAGAAGTTCAGATCGCAGCCAGGGCTGCCATAGAAGCTAAGCTGAAAGTCCACAAATATGGCGCGTGTTGGCACCTCGGGCTGAGCTTTATTGTCGTAGGCATACATAAAGTTGTTGGTCCATAAATCGCCATGATTGAGTACCACATAACGATCGTTCGGCTTTGGTTTGGCAGCCGCTACACAAACTTGTTTGAAATTATCCGAAAAACGTTGCAGATGCTTGGTAATCTTCTCGTAGCCAGGCCATTTGCCTGAGACTTGGATTAGGCCTTTAAGAAAGCCGCCAAACATATTCTCAAAGGTAGCACTTTTGATTAAAGTCTCTTCACTCAGCATGCCGCGTTGGTATTGCTTAACGATTTCCGGGTCCTGCATAGAGTACGGAATTGGTTATTTGTTTGTATTTGAACTTTACATTGTCCGCTTGTTACCTTTTTGGCCAGCACCATGGACGTAGCATGAAGCTTGCCCAGCTGTTTTAGGATCAGCGTGGAATGCGCCCAGTCCAAACAATCTTCGCGTGAGGCCAATTTAAATCCATCGACCTTTAGATCATCGAACACAATCGTCTGCACGGGCGCCTTTACGGAATGGTAATATCTATAAAAAGTTTTCAATTAGCACTTGGTCGACACTTTTTCTCCGACAACTCACTTGGCACCAAATCTGTCGCCATTGGTTAGAATGTCTAACCGTGGCAAGATATCTGTATAGGTTTGCTTCTCCTTGATGAACACCCTGACATCCTCTAGAAACCTGGTTTCTTCTGTGATTGGAATAGTTTTCACAATAAGCGATAGCTGCTCAATTTTGGAAGACTCTTTGCCATCGTCCCATCGCGTAAATTTCACGAGCACACGATAAATGGCCGAGCAGTAATTGTCACCCGGATTACTGCCCCATTCGAAATTGATCTCGTGCAAGGTTATTTTTGTTTCCCGCAAACCCTCCTCAATTGTTTCCACGAAGAATCCTTCGTTTAGAAACTCTGGCACAGATATATTTTGCACATTCTTTGTAACCACCATATTGCCGTATCGAAATTTGAAGAGGGGATTTGCCACGCGACGTGTTAACTATCGGACTGCGACTGATTTTATTTTTGTTAGAGTCTTGACATTATATACTGATTAGTTTTGTCGGGCTATTTCGTGCTTTTAGTCGCGCTTTTTGCGACAATTTGACTCTCACCAGTTGTGGTGTCATCGTGAATACCAACAAAGCGTTTGAGTGCACGGTGGCGCAAAAGATAGTGTAAATGAAATGGTAACAAAAGAAAAATTAATTAAATGAAATAGATAAACTTGACAAATATTTAAAAAAAAATGAAATACATTTAGCTTTTATTTACTTTATTAGCATATTTATCATTTCTGATTGATTTATTTTTAATTTCAATTCATAATTCAAACTCTACATTATTGCTAAATATTTAAAAATTGAAATCAATGACTATTTTATTGATATTAACTGATTTGATAACTATTTAAATCTTTATTCGATAAATACGTTAAAAGAAAATTGAAAATAGTTTAAATTTGACACAGTTTTTTACTTAATTTAGGACAATGTGCGTCACAATGACGTCACAAACAGGTTGTCGGCTAGTTTGAGTGTATTATCAATTGAGATTTTGGCCTAGTCATTGTCTATTTACATACTCTTTCATTGGACGCTATAATTTTGTCGCAAAATTTGCCGTTGCGTAATTTTAAACTATATAAATAAGCAGCAGAATTTAACTGAGAAAATATAAATTATATCTTAAGTCTACCTGTCAGTTTTTATGTTAATTTGTTTTTACGTTAAGGCTGATAAAACTTGGTGCGAGTTGTACCATGCTTAGAAATATATGATTTCTAGTAAAGGGAGCTTTCTGTTTATGTCTAAGTTGTTTTAATTTTTTATTTTGAAAGGGTATATATTATTTGGCATGCCGCGAAGTGCACTTTCAGCTGATTATTATTTTAAAACAGAACAAAGTTGAGCGAGTGGGAACGCTTCACGGCTGGAGCACCGCCTTTCAATGGGTCAGCAAAGCATTCATAACTAGTTGTACCTATGTGATTAGCAGCTTCGTGATATTTACTATTCCACAAGTGTGTATAAATAAATATTTACTCAGTGTGTACATATGTGATACGCATACCGCGAACACATTATAATATTATTTTTGTGTTTGCCACGACGGGAGCGTTATACACGCTCAAAAACAAAGAGCATTGAAATATTGGGTGTATATCGAAGCAATCTCGTAGAACTATGCGTTGAGCAAGATAAACTTTTGTCTTGCGCGTGTTTAAGCACAAAAAATATCATTAGTTTCTTATCGCTTTATCTCTGTGACAATGCAAAGTCATATTTTGTAATAAAGAATATCTTGATTGTTCCCGAGTGTGTACCATTTGATATGTTTCTAGTGTTTGTCAAATTTTGCGATTGATTACGAGGTATATCAGAGTACACCATCAGTTTGGAGTGTAGCCGATACGCAATAGAGATTCAATCGAATGGGAAAATCCCAGATAATAATTATGACTGCAGCAAAAATAATAAAACATGCGAATCGGATAATCGTATGAAGTATATGACTCAATAGACTTTATACCTTGCCCTTTTATATTTATCGTTTATCTTTTTTGATTTGATGATTTTTATTATAAAATAAAATCCCAGCTTGTTCAGCTACTGCACAAGCCTTGTGGGCCATTGGAGATACCAATGCTTAATAGGTATCTCAGCGAAATGAAATGGCTAAATCCTGTTTTATTTTTAATAAGGGTTTCTGACTTGGATAGACAATTTTAGGTGCAATTCTTTGCTTAGGTTTGCCCAGGATATACCAGTATTCTTTCAACCAGCCGTCACAACAAATATGGGTTCTGTTTTCACCCTTATTAAGTTGCTTTCGGAGTTTCTCATTTTGTTAGAATATGTGGTACTTTATGCCAAAATGTGAACACTGGGAAATATTTAATAGCCACGCTCGCCAGGAAATAAAATACTGGTGAATTTAAATTGTAAAATATGTCTCTAATAAACGCAGGGTATATGGTATTCGGTATGAGCTTAAAAAAAGTTTTGTTTTAAAAATGTATGTTCTGGACTGGCAATCATCATACTAATCGTGCAATTTTGAGGCTTGTGCTTTTTTATCTACCATTCCGCATTGCTTATCAGAAGGAATTCAATTCGTAAGGCAATAGTCGAGACAATAGTCGAGTCGAGTAGAAGACTTGCTACACATACGTGAAGCTTAAGTGTATTGAAACGTATGATATATGTCTTATATGCATAAAAAAGTCGCTACTTTCTTCTCATAATATTATAATCACACCTTTATGCGATTTTCCTGATCTCAAGTAAGTGAGTTAGTTGTATTATCAGACAAAATTGAAATTTAAAAGATTTTTGGAAAATTGGTTTCTGTTTAAAGAAATGGAGTTCTTTCGATTGGTCCTAAGCAAAACAGAAAATCTGAGAAAAACGGTAGTAAGACTTAGGGGAAAAACGTTTCATACCTATTATATATATAACCATTATGTTCACATTCAAACAATTTGACTGTTCCGCAATTTCCTAGTCGTGGCTCTTGTCTGTGTGAATGTGGGTTTCTATCGAGATGCTCTTGGCGTCATATTAAACGTATTTGCGGTGCTGTTGGAAAAAATGGGAAGAACAGCAACAGCAACAACAACATTACAAGTTGTGAGTGGTTGGCCCTGCTTTTGAGCATTGCATTTTTTTTCCAGCTGTGCCTTACGATACGCATCACCAGTTGCTTTTTTGCCTCGGTCAGCCAGGCGCGGCTGGCGAGGGGCACATGAAAGGCCAGTTCGCCATGTTTGCTATGTTTGGCGCTTTGCCTTTGAGTTGCTAGCGGGCAAATACACTCACACACACATACACACACACACACACTCAAACATATACACACACACGCACAACCACACACATTTCTGTGCATGTCACGTGTTTGTGCAGTTCATGACGGCTTAATTAAGTCGCATGTTAGTTTTTCTTTTTGTTTATTTTTTTCGTGTTCGTTTGATGCTTCCCAGATTTTTGCAATGCTGCGTCGAGCTTTTCGTTAGTTTTTCGTAGCATAAATTTTACATTACACGTTAAACGAAATGCATTAATAAACAACAGCGTTTAAATGCGCGATTGCACACAAATTAGGGACGAAGCCACGGTTGTCTGGCCACGCCAGCAGCCATATACAGCCCCGCCCCAACCCTTGAGCTAACCCGTCGAAAAAGCGACCACAGTAGAGACTGTCACACCGTCGCCCCCTTGGCGGCCTTTGAGCAGCGCTGATGTATGCGATTTTAATCGTACGCTCAGACACAAACACGACTGCCCAAAAACCAAAATCCATGGCAACCCCCTGACGGGACAAAAGATAATAGGGTGCGATGCTTTTGGTGGGTTGAGAGCTGCGCATTCCAAAAAGTAGACACAACAACCAAATTGGGCTGCAGACAGTACTGAATAAATGACCATAATCAAACACTTTACGCCTGAAAGCATGCCGGGCATGCTATTCTCTTGCCGCTAAAGAAAGCAGCTGCCTAAGCTGCATGTGGCTAGGTTTTAGATTCAGTCGCCCTATCTGTGTGCATCAAAGCAGCTGTCGCCGGTGGCCAAATTTAATTAGTACCCTCCAATGGAGTCCCTAGTTAGGCACCAATTTCCAAGAGGTATCTTAATTTTGCAATGTTGTTTGTAACTAAAAGTCATCCATTTCTTTATGACAATGTACCTCATATTGATTCACAACAAACCATGTAAAGCAAACAAAAATTCTTTGTTTACTCATAAATTATATAATTAATACTGCTTCCACTTGAAAAGCACATGAAAGTTCAAGGCTTCGTGAATTTATGCTTTAGTGTAAGAAAGAAAAGGCTCGATAGCTTGAAGGAAAGTATAACTTTTCAACTTACACTTAATTCGTGCTTTCACCATTCGCACATTCTTAAAGCTTTAAGTCCACAGAACAAAACACAAGCAAAATATATTAAAGCTTTATACAGCTTTTGTATATTACCTAAAGCTCGGAAATATTAACGAAAGCTTTAAGTATATTCATATTCTTTATTATAAGTCTGGTTTGACAGAGTATGCAGCTCACGCTGTGTGCTAACTGATTGAGATGCTCTTGTTGTTTGGCTACTGTTAAATTAAACTTCATTTGCACGTAACGGCGGGGCTGCAGCACCCCCCCGCTGCCCGCTGAATGGTCACCCGCCTGCTGCCCTTTAATCACAGTTGGCGCAAATCAAACACAAACAAATGCCATCATCCTAGGCATTGGGCTCGTGTTTGGGATGCCTTGCAGCGGGAGGAGGTCGGGGAGGTGGAGGCGGCTCAATGGTTTGGCGCTGGTTTTCATTTGTCTGTTAGCAGTTGGAAAAACTGTTGCATACCGTTGGGCGGCGGCGTTGGACTGTCGCATGCCTAGCATACTTTTTAGCTGCGTGGCCAAGCGCATGAATAATTGATTTCCATTGCCCAAATGCTGTGTCGCCTACGCTCTCGCTCTCTCTTTAATCCACTCAATGTGTCTGTCTGTCTGTCTCTTTCTCTCAGCTGCTCACTCCGCTGCCGTCTCGCATTCATTTGTCAGTTGTTTCCCCCGCACTCAGAAATGCGCTTCAGTTTATTGTGTCTGTCTGTTTGCTTATTTGTTTGTTTGTTTGTTGGTTGGGTTGGTTGTTTATTTGTTTGTCGCTGTCGTCGCATGCAACATATTTTCGCTCGGCACTTGCATAATTCGCCACCCCCCTCCGACCAAAAAGTGGCATTGTTTTTTCAGCCAGTCGCTTATCAGTTTATTTTTGTTCATACCATTTGCGTGCTACTGTCGCTGATCCGTCGCTGCCGAGCGGCCCCTCCGCCGGACATTTTATTGGCATATGTTTTGGTCTGGTCGCGTGTCCGGCCTTAATCCCAGCCAACGCATTACGTTGCCATGACTCGCACGGCCCGGCTTAACTTGAGGCCACACAAATTTTGCTCATTTATGGCTAACATTTTTGTTTGTTCAAATCGCAGCTTGTTTCCCATATATATTCTACTATATTATTATTATGGGTACTTTTCGTGCTGTCCACTTAGCACTGTGATTATTAGTGCTTGAACTGTAATATATTTGCATTCAGCTCTTGGGCCTTGCCCCGCCTTAATGGAAATGTAATTTTGACTGATTGCTGACAGCCTTGTTAATAAGCAGTTGTCATGTTAATTTCTTGAATAAATAACAACTTTCCCATAGCTTCCCATTACCAAAAAGTTTATGCAATGACGCAGATTGAATTCGCACAGTAAAAATCGTTTACAACATTTCTAAGTACCTGAATTTATAATTCGTGCATTTATTTGTTTAAATACCAAACAGAGCCCTTTCTTTCATATTTAGATTCCCAATTTAGCCTTTTTCCGAACAGATCTGTGACTTGGCCGGCAAAAATGTCAAACATCCTCCATCCGGAAATCTTTTCCTCTTAGCTTTTATTTATACTTATATCTATTTATAATATTTCTTAATATCACACTTCCTTAACTCAAAACCTGACTCTTACGTGCTTTATTCTAGAGTTTTACGTTCTAAATTTCAATCTTGTTTCGCTGTTTCTGCCAGTGACAAGCAAGTTATCGGGACAGATTTGTTTGGTGCTTCGCATCAATGTCTGGACTAACCAACTCACCAATTTGCATGGTCGTGATATATGCGCGAACATTGGCTGTCTGTGATCCTGGAGAGGAGAGCATGATGCCTGCGCCTGAACGACACGCTGGGCGGCAATAAATGTCAGATGGCAATTAAGCCAAGGTGTGTATGAGAGGTACATGAAGCAACCCCCTCGCATAAACAGGGGTAGTAAAAATATCCCAAATGACGTAGACAATTGGAGGGGTGTTTACATTTTACTGATTCCCCAAGCGTTCCAGTTGCCTTCCCAGAGAGCGTTGGTATTTGCTCTCGCAAAAGTTTTCCATTTGTTTTGGGATATTTTTTGTTGCGCTTTGGCGGCAAACTCTGTGGAGTTAGTCGATCCATAGGGGTTCCTCATGGTTGCGGCTAGCACTAAACTCGAGACGTTGTCAGGTGCACGTATGCGTGTGTCAGTGTATGTGTATGTGTGTGTGTACTAGCTAGTTGGGGGTTGGGTAATGTGGCGAGTTGTGTGTGGCGCTGGCTTAATGGAAACTGAAACACCAGTTGATTGCCTGGCGGTGTTGCATTTCAGGTTCTCCTGCTGCTTGCCTTTTGACTGCGAGTATATTGCATGTGGTTTCTGTGGCAAGCACAAAAGAGTTAGAGAGGCGTTTGAGAGAGCTGCATTGGGCAGCTTGTTGCAAATGGTTTCTAGTTTCTTATGGCTAACAGTTGTGACAAGCCAATATTAATGTGTAACCCTATATGGGGGCAGTAGATGCAGCATTCTGTGGCATAGCTTAGCATGATACGCGCTGCACGGCTTTGTTGTTTCTTTTTTTTTACCCCTTGCTGTTGCCTCATGTGGCGCGTGCGTGTGTGTACGGCTCGCTCGGGGCCAAAATGTAATTAACATGCGATTTCCCTATTGCATTTCAAGGTGTTATAAATCAGCGCATTGTGAACACAACTGTCCAGTGTTCACAATTCCTTTGAGCTCCTACAGTTGATGCAATCGAAAGGAGAATAACAGAATAAAAGTAGTTTTAAAAGAGAGACACAAGTGACCGTGCTTAAAATATATAATAATCATTTTGGATTGATGGAAGAATTTCAAAAATTAAATTATTATTAATGTATACTAATATCACAAACAAGGTCAAAATAATAATAGACCTTTAACATCCGTTTGTGGGCGTTACGGGCGTTAAAAAGGCAGAGGTTTATAATTAACTAGATTCACGCGATTGCCACAAATCTGATTTGGACGTAGCGCAGAAAACGTGGGCTTAAATTCACACGGGCGGCATTTAAATTGAATTTCGTGCCCATGACAGGGGCAAACAAATACAAATAAACACAGAGAGAAACGCTTCCGTATGATGCTTGCCATTTCCGTTTCCGGCATGACGCGTGCCTGTGTAATGTAAGCCCTGATTTTGACTGTTCATGGTACGGGAAGCTTAGGCTGGGAAAAAAAACAACTACACTCAGATGGAATACAAAATTTAAGGCTGGCGCGAAAAAAATAAGAAATAATAAAAGAAAAAATAGTTATCGTCGACTCACCGAAGATTAGGTACCCTTACACACAGCTCCTAACTATACCAAATGATTTTTGTGTTTTCATAGACATGCAATTTTAAATTTGTATTCATATTAGGAGCATACAAAAAGTAAACTGGGAAATAAGTCTCGGCTGCTCATGATGGGGTCGGCTACGTCTTTGTAATACCCTTAGCAAATGTAAACAAGCAAAGACGCCAATTCGCCTTGAAAATTAACGGGACTCCAACAGCGTCCATAGACTATAGTCTATTCAAGGCGGATAATCCCGCACCCCCTCATAGGCGACGCCCTCACTTAGCTTAAGATCAAAGGCAAAAAAGCATTATTTCGTGTCATTTTGTCCTCTTGTTTTGCATAAATTAAATAGCCCAGACGTCAGTCAGCCTAATGTAACTAGCAAAAAAAAGTGTCTGGGCCACTTTAAGGCAGCTTAAAGTTGCACTGGTTGAAATGGCTTAGAGCCTTTATGGCATATTCATGTGGTTTTCTAGCCACAAATACCAACACAGTGATGGAGAACGAGAGAACGGGAATGGCCACCTTGAGCTGTGTGCTGTGGTACGACTTATGGTTTTGACTTTTGCTTGACAGTTGACCGGATACAATGGCTTCCACCTGCTCACCTGTCAACTGGCACCTGTTTTGTGTGAGTTTTTGAGCCATTTTCAGCATGCATCGCAGCACATTCAACAAATGTTTATGACACATTTTACACATGTGGTTGGGCACGAACAAAGGAACTTGTGGCAGGGGCTGCGTTGTCTTTAACCGATGCGTTTCCTTGAAAGTTTCAATGAATATTCCTTATTCTTGTCAAGCGCAACTGATTGCCAAACATTTAGCTAATTGTTTTCGTCAAAATATCATCAAGTGTTGAGAAATTCCGGATCTTATTGGGGCTCCCCATACAGAAGGCACGAAAAACAAGAAATAAAAATACATTTAGTATTTATATTTATAGATTCGACTTGGAATTTTCTCTTAACAACACATTACTAATAGTTCTTATCAATTCCGTAAAACGTGCGACATTCTGATTTAAAGCGAAACCAAACGTTTCTTTTGGCATATCTAATCAATGGTCAGTTGGAAGGGTTACCCCCTCTTAACACAAGGATTTATAACACTCGGGCTTATCAGTAAGTGATTCCCTGCCCCACGAGCTAGCCGCATATATAAGCACCGTCTACTCCCACAATCTGCAAAACAGTCTTTGATTAGTTACCGTAAAGTTAAAGAAATGTGTTCGAAACTCATTACCTGTGCACTGATTTTAGCCCACCTCTTGGGCACCATCTACTGCGGGGTATACGATACTACAGATCTCTGGATACTTTCCGACAAGTCGAAGAATTTCCCCGATAACGCTGTTCTGGGCGGCATCGATTCATACGGCTATGACAACTACGTGGCACGCGTCCCATATGCAAGCTCGATTGTGCCAGCCCGTGTTAGGTCCGAAACGGGATACGCCACTTTTAACACCGATGCGGTGGCTAATCAGGCGATTTCCTATGAGTTGCTGGTCGCCAATGAGACCGTCAGCTATCATTGGGTGCGCAGTTACGATGGCTTCAGGGAAAGGAATGCTGTTTCTGTGGGCACAAGCGACCTAAACGAACGCGTTTACGTCTGCCGCGCCAGAACCAATGGCGGTATTTTCATTGGCACCCTGTATCTTGCGCAAAAGGTGTGTTTCATCCGGTACGAGAATTTCCCTATGAGACAGATCAGTAAATACGAGGTACTGGTCCGACAAAGTACGCCGGCAGCGTGGATGCCATTTGACAATCAAATTAACTAATAAATATCGAAAGTTAAGAACTTTTAAATAGATTTAACATTTGTTTTAATCAATACGAGAAAGAAGAATTATCTTGAGAGCACCGAAGATTTGCTACCCTCACAGGCACAAAGGCATTTCTTGAGTATATCTATATACTATTTTGAAATTCCGTCGATGGCTTTTAGCGGGTCGGAATTGTCTCCCTTAATGCGATATACGTTGCGCATCTTGAGAGATAACGCTCTATTAAAACATTTTTAATGAACTGGAGATGGGAGAAAAGTTTTAATAAAAATTAACACCCAACTTGTTAAACAATGGCAGCGGGAAACGAACGAGTTTTCTGTTTTTGACTTTTATTTTATCTGCACACTCGCTTTTTTCGCAGTAAGCTAACACAACTAATTAAAAGCACTTTGTAGACTTGCCGGCAGACACATTTATTAGTGAGACGCAGCTGCAAAGGCTCTTATAAGGCGGGGCGAGCTGCGCAAGTTGAGCCTTTTGGCAAATGCCGACCGCTAAAGATGTGGGCGCGGCTGTGGGCTGTGTATAGAAACAAAAAACCCCAACGCCAAACTTCATTAAAAATGCACACGGAAGCAGCTAAAAAGCCGCCAACTTCATTTAAATAAAGTTACGACAGAATCTCTTGCGTGTGTGCGTGTGTGCTTGTGCTCGTGTGTGTCGTGTGCTGTCTTTAATTTATGAAGTCATTAGATGCAATTTTCGAGCACCTGAGCAGCCGTATCACAGGCAGGCAATTTGGCAACCGTTCAACACTCTTGCAGTTGTCCCAATGCCAAACATTTAACTGGCGACCCTAGAAAATCGAGGCCAGTCGGTTTGACAGCTGCCAGACGATTACATCCCGGCCCAGCCAGGCCAAGGCAAACGTTTTCTAATTTTCCACGCCATTAAATCAGGGATTTCTAGCCAGACGCATGCGATTCCAACTGCCACTGGCATCGTGACATGCAATGTCGCAATGTCTGAAGGGCGGCCAAGTTGAAGCTGCAGTTGCAGCATCGACTAACGCTGTCCAAGGGCGAACTTAAGTTCCAAGCTAGCAACCAAAATAAATGTCTAACAAAATTGGTAGCAAACTAAATGTTAAATAACTTGCAATTGAGACTATATTTTTTCTCTTAATAAATAGAAAGAATTATACCTTGACAATTTATTTAGAATTTGTGTGCCAGTCGGTTAAAAAGCATTTAATCCAACATGGGATCACAATAAAAAGTGGGCGTTAAGGAGTTACCTACATGTTTACATAAAGCCCATTTTAACTCTATAAACATAACCATTTCAAACCATATTCCAGCTTGCAGGAAGTTCATTGTTTAGCACTAAAAACTCCTTGTTGTGCACTTCTCAGCAACCACAACACAAAAAAAAAAAAATAGAATACCGCCCTGTCGGTAAAGTTTAAATTTATCGCACTCTGCGTTAGAGCAGCCAGGGGGAAAACTGACCTGGTCTTAGAGCGAGCGGGCGCATTCAAAAACCAAGAAACCAAATACAAAAAGATAATTTCGGAGCAAAGCATAAAGAGAAACAAGTTTTCGTGGAAAGTTTTGGCGCCGGGCAACAACGTGACAGGCAAAGAAAACTTGTGAAAAACAACTTTGAACACGTTTCAGTTACCTGCCACGCCTCCAAGCCCACAAGGGCACGCCCGCTCATTATGTGACTGAAATGAATGCAATGCAATTAATTGTGAACAACGCATCCTGAAAGTATTTACAGCTTCGGCTTCGGTATTGGCTCTGATTGCAGCATAAATTTAATTGAAAAACTTTTTTCCAAAGATCGAAATGCGTTTGCAATGCACGTGTATTGTAATTACAGTCAGGTGTACTCGCATATTGCCGTTGGCCTTGGTAGTTGCATCATCGATAAAAATTGCAACAATGTCAGCCTAATAGTTACAAACTGTGAACTGTGTTGCGAACTGTGAGCCACTAACTGGAGCTGGAGTTGCACCTGGATAACTTTACCTGCGCTTCTTACCAAAGTGCAATTCAGCGTCGTCAACTTGAACTTTGTGTTTTGTAACGTGCTCCTGAACTTTGTTTGGCTCCTGGGAAGCGTTACTTTTGACTTGGTCATGTCTTTTGCAACGCAATACAAAAGCTGAAAATATCACTGAGATTTAAAAGAAAAAACCGCTCACATTGATAAATGCTAAACAAATATTTTAGGTAAATTCCAAAATTATAAGCAGCATGTGGCTTAGAACTAAGTTTTTAAACGCGATAAATTGATAATATTCTTTGGTGTGGAAGATATATTCTTTTCTACCTTTATGTTTTTAGTTAGACTTGAAGAATTGATGTGTTTATATCAAATAGTTCAATGCACCAGAAGCATTTCAGAAGCTTAGATCATACAAGTTTCGTTGTTATAGAATTAGTTTTTTTTTCAGGCGAGCTGTTGCTGCTGTAATTGGTATGCCAGTGAGCGTAGTTGTTGTTGTTGTATTTAAAAGTTAGACGATGGCGACGACGTCGTCTACAGGTGTAGCCTGCCGCCATATTATTTACAAGTGGCAGAAGGAGCAGCAGGCTGCAGCGCCTGGCTTTCACCCACGAGGCACCTATAATTTAGCGCTGTTTATTTGTAAATGTCTGTCGCGGAACGGGATCGAGTTGCAGGGTCGCAGTCCTTGTTCTCGTCACGCTTCATGTCAACAGCGGCAACTCCATTGTCTGCCCTGGGCTCCAGCTCCCTGCTGCTGCTCCACAGCGCCTCAGTTGCTGCCCTGTTGTTTTGGGCTGTTGGTAGGGGGGGTTAGACGAATACGTGTGTGTGTCACTGACATTAAGTGCAGTTGGTTGCTGGGCTGTTGGGTTGTCGGTTTGTCGATTCGCAGAAAAACGTTTTGCAATTTATTAACTGACATTTGAAGTGGTTGTTGCCACGGGGCAAGTGACACGGCGGCAACCTGTGCTTCGCATAAGCAAAACCTATGACACTTATTACTGAAGCAGCTGTGCGGTGTGGTAAACAATATGAAACTCCATTGCATGCATATTTGATTAAGCTGCCTCTAGGTAGGCAATGATATTTGCAAGCCAAACTTTGCAGACAAACGCGCCCGCGGGCCCCGACACACACACATACAAACGCGCGCACCTATTCTAGCATAAGGGTTAAGGCCAACAACAATAATGCGTAAGTTTTTGGTCCAAACAAAAGTTGCAAACGTTTCGAATTTGGGTTGAGCACAAGCGTGCACAGACAAAATGGCCGGAAGCGGAAACTGTTTTGTACATTGGCAAATTTGATATGTAAGCGTGCGGAAGAGCAAAGGGATAGGAAACTAATCCCCGACCGGTAGACAGACATTTCTCAGTTCCGTGTGGTTATTAAACACATATTAAGTCGACAGCTGGAAAAGGTTGACCATGCAAAAGAGCATAACAAAAAGCTTATACAGTTAGAAAAAAAGGACGAAAGAACTTCACAAGTTTCGACGATTAGCAAAGGTTTAGGGCAAGGGACAGTTAGTGGTTCCTAATAGCTGTCTGTGAATCCACACAAATGTTGCTCGCTGTATGGTGCCTAATTGTTTATTTATGAAGTGGGCAATCGAGGCACCTGGAAGTGTAGTAAGCCTCTGGCATTGGTTGAAGCTTATGACCGGTGGAGAAGATTGGGCTTGAAAAAGTTCCCGACAGCTTAATAAAGTCTGTTCAATATTTGAGTATTCTTTAGCTTGATTGAAAAGTGTTAAATATGTCCGTTGCTAGTATGTAGGTAAATAGATTGAGAGATCTTTGACAGTTGCTTGGTGAATAAAACCGTGTACTAATGAATGCTCTCAAAGATTGATTGATCGTTTATCACTTGCTTGATGTAGCATAATAAGGCTGTAATTATTTTCTAGTATATTTATTAAGAAACTGCTTCAAATGTAGAGATGTCTTCGCTATATTTGTGATTGAATAAGCTAGAAGTTTTTTAAGGATTTTAACTTGTTTAAATTTAATAGATGTCATTTGATTAAATAGAAATCAAGCTACAGGTATGCACCTCCACAAGCATACATAAAAAGCTATTGCTATGGAAATGTAACCTTTGTTTCTTGTGCAGATTGATATACTTGTGGCTTGTTTAACTTTCCTTTACATACTTTTGACATGGCTTATAACTAAAATCCATGGCAATCCGCTTTAACCTGTGAGTCCCCAATAACACGACCACAAACCACTGTCTATGTATGCTATTAAAGGCACATAACATTACGCAAGTACATGTGTCTGCCCAGCTGCCGAGCTCATTTCGGTCAATCTCAGGTGTCATATTCCAGATGTAATGATGTAGACTCACTCAAAGGCGACGTTAAATGAGAGGGTGGCTTCATTCATTTGATATGCATAGCACAACCAAAAAAAAAAAAAAGGCAAAAACAAACATTCCGGCAAATGCCATTTAACACTTTAATGTGCACACGCGCACATGTGTGTCTGGGTGTGTGTAAAAACTTCAATTAAAATGCCAGCGTAACAATGCTCAATGGAGATGACACCCACCCCCAACTTCCATATTTGGTTAGGCCCTTTTCCCTTTAGCATTTCATTTGCAATTTAATGCAAAATAGCCGTAAAGCCACAAAAAGGCCAAGCGGCCAAGTCTGGTAAAGCAGCGAAACAACGAAACAGTCGAAACGCTTGGCAATCCTCACAATAGCATAAAACGCAATGGAGCTCTTAACTGCCAACAACAAAATGGCTCTGCTGAGTGACGATGGCGCTGACAATTGCTTCCGCTTGCCCTAGAGAGAGAGAGAGAGAGAGAGAGAGAGAGTGAGAGAGAGAGAGAGTCGTTAAGAGAGAGATACAGAGAGTGACATACAGCGAGAAGGTAATTTTGTTTAAGCACATTCCAGTTATTATTTCTACCTGTAGCTCTCGAATAAAGGTTCCTTTTCCTTTCTAATTTTAAAAAATATAAATATGTTAGAAATATGATCTCAAAAATGTCAAGGAATTGGCGTAACAATAAAAAGAATCAAG